GATGACTTCAAATGAAGAAGTTTGGGCCATCTTAAATTCTGTCGGGCAGTTTGATATAAAGTGCCCGTGACTATCATGGATCACTAAGTCTAAGGGACAATAGATCTAGATTCCTGGGTTAAGCAAGGCCTGAGCTCAGCCATTCTTTCCACTTCACAGATTAGTAAAGAACAGTTCTTGAGAGGAGGTTTGAAAATTTGCAGTAATCAGGTGTCTTTTAGAGTTCTGTGACATATCCTAGGGGCAGTAGATTAATGAAGATCTTAGAAGAGTCAGAAATGCTGTGGATGCAAATGAATGAACTCTGGTTTCTTTTCATTCTTTTCTCTAGGCTGTGCTCCTGTGCCTCCTAGATTTATTCCCTGTCCTAGAGAAAGCTCTGCACTGGAAGGGAGATGCAGCTCGAGCCACTGCACACTGTCATGATGTGCTACAACTCATCCTCACCCACATGGAGCCAGAGCATCGCCTTCTCTTACGTAGGACGTACGCCAGAAACCTGCCCGCCTTTGTGAAGAAGTACGTGCCTGGGCTGCTCTGGTCACACACACCATGTTCAACTTCTTTTTTTTTTTTTTTTTTTGGTTTTTCGAGACAGGGTTTCTCTGTGGCTTTGGAGCCTGTCCTGGAACTAGCTCTGTAGACCAGACTGGTCTCGAACTCACAGAGATCCGCCTGCCTCTGCCTCCCGAATGCTGGGATTAAAGGCATGTGCTACCACCGCCCGGCTTTTTTTTTTTCCTTTTCTTTTTTTTTTTTTCATGTTCAACTTCTTAGCATCTCATTTCCTCTTCTTTTTTTAGGTTGGGGATCCTAACTGTCCGGCACATGAAGAGGCTGGAGCAAGTTATCGTTGGTTATCTGGAGGTTTATGATGGACCAGAAGAAGAAACGAGGTTGAAGATACTGGAAACCCTGAAACTTGTCATGCAGTATACTTGGCCCAGGTATAGCATCCAGGCTGACAGATGTGCTGGAAGAGCGTGCGTAGGTTAGCTTTCAATTCAGAACTTAACCAGATCAACTGTTCGGGACATGCAATGTATCTGAATCTTTTTCACTTGGTTCATCTCTAGGATATTCAGCTACTTCAAATACTCATATTTGAACCCCTTTCATCCGCCAATGGTTCTGGGTTCTGACACAATTAAATTACTTCTCTTCCTTACGAGTTCTAAGGCTGGGTATCGTGGCCCAGCCCTTGAATTCCAGCACTCAGGACGCAGAGGCAGGCAGATTTGAAGCAGAGGCAGTAGGTTTGAAGCAAGCCTAGTCTATTTAATTAATTCCAGGCCAGCCAGGGCTACATCGAGAGCCTTGTCAAAAAAACAGAAAATGGGGCTGGAGAGATGGCTCAGTGGTTAAGAGCATTGCCTGCTCTTCCAAAGGTCCTGAGTTCAATTCCCAGCAACCACATGGTGGCTCAAAACCATCTGTAATGAGGTCTGGTGCCCTCTTCTGGCCTGCAGACATACACGCGAAACAGAATATTGTATACATAATAAATAAATAAACATTAAAAAAAAAAAACAGAAAACATAGCCGGGCGGTGGTGGTGCACGCCTTTAATCCCAGCACTCGTGAGGCAGAGGCAGGCGGATCTCTGTGAGTTCGAGACCAGCCTGGTCTACAAGAGCTAGTTCCAGGACAGGCTCCAAAACCACAGAGAAACCCTGTCTCAAAAAAAAACAAAACAAACAACAGAAAACAAAACAAAACCCCACACATGAAACAACAAAAATTCTCTGGTCATGGAAGTTGGGAAACATTGTAGATTGTATTACTTTTCTATTTCTCTGGTAAGATACCATGACCAAGGCACTTTATAGAAGAAAGTTTATCTGGGGCTTACAGCTTCAGCGGCTTAGAGTCCCTGACCATCGCAGAAGGGAGCATGGCAGCAGACAGGCAGGTGTGGCTTTGTGGCAGTAGCTGAGTGCTCACATCCTGAGACACAAAGGATGAAGGAAGAGAGAGCCAACTGGGAACGGAATGGGCTTTTAAAACAAAGCCCACCCCTGGTGCCACACCTCCTAGGTTTTTCCAAACAGTTCCACCAGATGGGACCAAGTATTCAAATATATAAGCCTAAGGGGTCCATTTTCATTCAGCACAGCACACAGATGGTTGGTCCAAATTGTAATTAGAATTTATATCAAAATACTAAAGGCTGTTTAGGATTGATGTGTAGTTAAGTGGTAGAGCACTTGTCTGTCATGTTCAAGGGTTCCATCGTTATCACTGTTCCTCCCCAAAAAGGCTACTTAGAGAAGTGCTTGAGTAGGCGTGTTTAAGTGTTCTTCCTACAGGTCCTCAGTCTAACGGGGAGAATGGAGTGCTTGGAGTGCTCCAGGGCGCATCGTTCAACATCCGCAGAGCAGTGACTTGGTTGCTAACTTAGGATGCGCTTATTTAGAAGGCATTCCTTATGTGGCTTGAAGGTGTCAGGAGGAAAGGACCACCTGAACTGTCTAGTCACCTAATGGCTTTCTTGCATGAATGGACGGAATTCTGGAATGCAGTCAGAAAATCAAGAGCCCCAACTTAGTCTGTTTGGTAGTGTATTTTCTTTCTTATAAATATACCAGGAGTCAAGAAACTTTCCCTAGTGAAAATCTTAGTCACATTTGTTACTGTATTGCATTTCTTCACCCGTCATCTTTGTCCCCCACTAAACTACAGAAAACAACATCGTATGTATTCCTGAAGCACTCGGTACCTGTTATTAGGTCCATAAGTATTTAGAGGATGAAGAGGTGGATTAAATGAAATTGAATCAAACTCATTCTATACTGGGCCATTAAAAGAGAAAAGTGCAGAAATGTCGGGATGTGAGGGCAGGGGCATGTGCACCTCTGTGTATAAGCGTAGCATGGGAGTGGTGAACACGCACACTGCAGTGAGTGGTGAGAGACACGAGCTGGGAAACACTGAGCAGCTGAGATGAAGTGATAGAAATGAGTTGTCTAGTTCAGTTCTGTCCAGAAATATCGGGGTGTGTCTAGCTCCTCTGTGTCCTCAGTGCTGGGAGTCTAAGTACATACCACTGCCTGCGGTCCTTAATGTCCTAGCATTGACTCACATGACCAGGCTGTCTCATCTCAGGTCAAAATTATAGGGCCTTGAGCAGGATAATCTCAGCCCATAACAGGGCAGTTTTCTTGAACAGAATTAAGCATTGGCAGGAAAGTTTCCTGGTGGTTTGTTTCAGACAGCAGGGTCTTGCTGTACCCCTGGCTGTTCAAAAATCTCAGAGATCCACCTGTCTCTGCTTCCTAACTGGTATCAAGTGTTCCTGAGCAAGCGAGCCAATGTGTGTACACAGGCTGGGTGTAGTAGAAAGAAAGGAACTTTGAGGCTAACAATCTGCGGTCTGCCTTTGGTCCTGTTTGTAGTGCTGCGATAGCAAACATCATTTGACTTCAGTTTTCCCATATCTTGACCAAGTTTTGTCCAAGTTTAACATTCCAGTTTGCAATATGAAGTTTTTTTGTTGTTGTTGTTTTTTGTGATTTCAGAATTTCCTGCAGAGTTGTGGTCTTGCTGAAGGCTCTCCTGAAACTGATATGCGATGTAGCAAGGGACACAAGCCTCACATCCCAGGCCACTAAGAGCACCCTGCTCCAGGAAGCCACAGACTGTCTGATTCTTCTGGACCATTGTTCTCAGGGGCAGGTGAAGGTAAGGCAAGAGTCTGCAAGTCAGTTTCAGTTGGCCTCGTTCCTAGATAACCCCAGTGATTAATTGTAATTTAACTACTTGTATGCCCATGTATGTTTGGACATGAACATAGTGTTAGGCCCCTACCACTGTACTCTGTAGTCTTGGACTGTTTGTCCGATACCTTACCCCATTTATTTTTGGTGGTAGGGCCAAATTCTTTTAATGCTATTCAAAACCATTTAGAGCAAAAAAAGATCAGATATTACTGGCATTCAGAACAAGAAAGAACAAGCCACCAGGATTTTATACAATTGTGTTCTGAGATTGACATGATACCCACTGTGTTAGTGAGACAGACACCTTAAAGTTCCGCTCTGGACTTGAAATGAGGTTCTTAGCTGCCAAGGATTAACACTGTAATTGAGATATGGTGGGAGAGACACCTCTTGAGATGTTTGGCCATATTCTTGTGTGCAAGTGCAGGTATATGGGACTTAGGGTGTCATTCACGCACCGTCCCCACTTTTTAAGACAGATCTCTCACTGACACGGAATTCTTCAAGCAAGCTTCGCTGATTGGTTGGTGGGCCAAGCAGGCCCCAGGGATCTACCTGTTTCCCCTTCCCCATACAGGTGTTACTCCCAGGTGTGTGCTCCCACTGATGACAAGTGTGAGTTTTGAACCCAGGTCCTCATGCTCATCCCACTGAGCTAGCTACCCAATTTCCAAATACTCAATTTACCAGCAGGAAGGTCTTCATTCTCATGTCCCACAAAATTCTCAGAACTACAGTTTATGGAATCTATAACGTGTATTTATTTACATGTCATTGAAAGACTAATTTCCCATTTTTATTACAATAAGAATCTCTGAAGATTAAAGGAGCATGAGAAGAAATTCATGCTCCAAAATATGTAGCGCTCAGGTGTGGTTTGCTTTTCAGTTTATTCAAACATCTCACTGCTGCTCTTTACACGCGTTTGTGCGGTTCTCCAGCCAGAGGTCCACTTGAGTTGTTTTGGCCAGAATGAAGCAGGCTATTAGAAGCCAGTGGGCTACGTACACGCACGGAACAGGTTTTAACTGACACCTGTTCCGGTGGAGGTACTTCCTTTAGTGCCCACACTCGAATGTATGAATTAAGACAATGGGGAAACAGGTTTTACAAATTCACTGCTTGTTTGTTTTCATGTTTCAGGGTCTTCTGTCTAGAATCGTCCTGTCCTGTGAAGACAGCACAGTGGTGAGCTGCATCAGGAAAGTGCAGCAGTGCTCTGCTTGACCAACCAGCAAGGAAGGCTGTGGATGGAGTTATGGAAAAATCTATTTTTATACTAAACATTGTAAGTTGGAACTTTCGTTTTCTTCAGTTTATAGGAGAAACTGAACAAGGGGAAAAATTGAAGCTGGGTGGTGGTAGCACAAGCCTTTAATCCCAGCATTCAGCAGGCAGAGGTGGATCTGAGTTTGAGGCCAGTTTGGTCTACAGAAAGAGTTACAGAACAGCCCAGGCTACATAGAAGATCCCTGTCTCAAAAAACTAAAAAGGATAAAGAAACACTGGCATTTCTAAGTAAAAACTGGGAAGGGAAAATTTAGCACTTGTAATTTAGAACCATTTACACACAGTGTCAGTCCAGCTCCAGGGACTCCTCTGTCAGATCCCTGGGCTCAGGCTGTTACAAACAGCACGTGTTACAAAAATATTCTTTACACTGTAAGGCTCTTTCTTCTCCACTCACTCCCTGGAGTGACATATATATTAACAATATAAATACTGTATGAAATATAGCACAAAGGAGCACAGTTGGAAGTGTTGACTTTTCAGGATAAAACGTGAAGGAGACTCATGTGGTTTTGGCTTTGGCTGTGGGCTCTGTCTCCTGCTCATACTCTATCTCCACATAGGCCCGTTTTTTCCGCAAAGGTCCTTTCAAGGGTGTTTTGCCTTTGTGTTTGGCCTTAAGGGCCTTCTCTTCTTCTTCACTGGAGGAATCGTCATCCTGTTCTTCATCACTGCCAGCATCCAGTTTATCCATATCCTAATAGGTGGAGACAGAAGTCAGACAGGGAAGTGCACAATTTCTCCAGACTCTTCCCTGCTCAGCCAGTACAGAACAGACAAGAGTTTATCTGCTCCCGTGTTCAGGTTCCCCCTGCTCCCCTCTTTTGCAGCAGGCCACAAAACATTCTTTATTCCACAGAGCTCACCTCAAAATCACTCAGGTCACTCTCATCCACATCATCGTCTTCTACAAACTCTCTTTTACCCACATCCTAAGATAAAACATAGTTACCAGGTTAGGAAAAAAAAATGAAGATCCAGTTTAGACACGTAGTTTTACCTCTTTTCATAAATAAGTGAATCAGAGTCTTCTAAACCTATTACTCTCAAGTTTAACAATTATAAATTAAAAAGAAAAATTAAGGATATAAAAGCCTATAGTTTATTGGCTGAACTCTGCTAAATCAGAATTAATCATCACATGATACAAAAGGCGGGGGGAGAACTGGAGGTTAAGAGCACTGGCTCTTCTTCACAGGTCCTGAGTTCAAGTCCCAGCAACCACATGGTGGCTCACAGCCCTCTGTAATGAGATCTAGTGCCCTCTTCTGACATGCAGGCAGAACACTGTATATATAACAAATCTTTAAAAAAAAAAAAAAAGGAAATAATGCTGCCTCTGAATTACATGAAAACATGTTATCCTAAAGATTGCTGTGTTTTAAAACAAGACAAACCATACTTACCTCTTCATCTTCCTCCTCCTCCTCATCTTCTTCTTCTTCATCATCTTCAGAGTCACTCTCTGCTTCCTGTTTCTCAAGGGCCTTGTCGAAGGCATGGATGGGGAAGTTGTAGATGTCGCCATACTGAAGAATAAACATAGACTGCCTTTAACTGTTCTTGAGTATTACATTTTCAAAGTTCCTCTGACCAACAAGCATATTATTCATCATCAGGGACTAAATAAGGAAACTATGATAAACAATATTTCTATAGCTTTCCAACCTATGTACAGTATATTTACAGCTTTTAACAATCAGCAGTTGATATTAAATAGACAGCTTCTATGGAGCAGAGAGCCAAGTCATTTCAAATCTAGTTTATGAAACCACGGGCATTGGGACAAATCTAATTTTGCTTAGAAAGGGAAATAAGACGTTTTAATCACCTTTCCATCTTTCTAAATGACACTGTTATTAGTCAGAAGACTGAGATACCTTTTAAAAGGATTTTTTAAAACTTAAAGAACCTCAAAAGACTAGAGTAACACATAGAAGTAAACACTCTAGCCATTGGGACTGAGGATGGAGGTTGATTGGCAGAGTACTTGTTTAGCACATACAAATTCCTAGGTTCAATTTCCAACATATACACCTGCATGGTGACCTCCCTATACCAACCATGTGGGAGGTTGGAGACAGGAAGATCAAGAAATTAAAATAATCTTTTGCTACAAAGTGAATGTGATGCTATCATGAGATATAGTCTCAAAACAGCAAAATCAACTATAGGGAGGTACTGCAGTGAATGTCTGCTGAAGACATGGTACGGCTATGCCAAGGACCCCAGAGCATAAGACCCTCAAAGAATGGCAAAGCTGTGTCCCAAGGTGAGGCTCAGAGAGGGATGGCAAAGCTGTCCTCTGGTCTGAGTGCACATACTGACAATGTGTACAGAAATGTCTACTATAGCTCTGCCTCCGCCACCATTTATGGTCTGAAGAGACTGCCCCTACTAAGATTTAGCTAAACCTGTCTCCTTGGTCCAGCTGTGTACCATAAACCCTGCCTCCTTACTTATCTGCATGTAATAACCCTACTCCCATGTTCAGCTGTGTGTAATAATCTGCCTCCCTGTTCAACTCTATATAGTAAACATGATGAGCTTCCAGGGTGCTCAGGTTTTTCATCCAAGAGCCCAGTCCATCCAATCCCAGCTTTCTACATATCTATCTATTTGCTCTTTGCTGCCCGGAATCAGGTCTGTCCCTGGAGGCTATGCATGGACGGAGGGAAAACCTATGACTTCTAGTTTTTATACAGAACTGTTGAGCTTGGAAATGTCAACTGGAAATAAGGGCAAAAAAAAGTCTCACCAGGACAGGTCTACATGTATTTGTTTTATTCCATGGACAAATTGCCATGGGACAGCTATTTGTGAAATGTTTAAAAATAAATGGATTACCCAGACAGTGGTGGCACAAGCCTTTAATCCCAGCACTTGGAAGGCAGAGGCAGGTGGATCTCTGTGAGTTTGGGGCCAGCCTGGTCTATAAAATGAGTTCTAGGACAACCAGGAAACCACATCTCAAACAAACAAACAAAAAAACCCAGAAACAAAAACAAACCCCCCCCCCTAAATAAATAAATAAACTAACAAAAATTTAAAACTGCATTTTCTGTATTTCCTAGCATGGTGCTACTACTTAAAACACCTGCCAATACTAGTAGCTTTCTCACCGTTTCTTGTTTCAGTCTTTCCAGTAATTCCTTCTCAATGGCGTTGTCCAGCTGGGCAGCTATTAATGCTTTTTCCTATAAGAAAAAGTACAAATCCATTACTCCATTAGGACTCATTTTCTAGCCTGTACAAATATAATTACCAGCAGTATGATGTAGTGTAGTTATTTTCTACTTGCCTCTATTAGTGAGGCTTTTGCCTCTCTAGCCAGACACATTTCTTCTTTCCCTCTCAAAAGCTCTTGGGACCTTTCAATTCAAGAATTCCCATCTATAATATGCATTAATATAACAAAGAAAATAATTCCTATGACTTCAGCAATAGTATTCTGGATTTTTAACAAGTTCTCGATAGACAAACTACATTACATGCTTACATACATTAAGAATGTCAGGAGGGGCTGGAGAGATGGTTCAGTTGGTAAAGTGCTTGACCTGTGAATATGAGGACCTGAGTTTGGACTCCAAGGATCCACACAAAAAGGCACATGATGGCACACACTACTAACTGTGCCAATCGCAAGAAAGGAGGCAGATAGGTGGACCCCTGGAAGCTTGGGGAAAGATCCTGGCCTACAGAGTTCAGGCCAATAAAAGCTCTCAAGAAAATAGTAGGAGGAGCTTGAGGACTCACTCAAGGCTGTCCTTTGACTTCCACATGCATGCTATGTGTGCTCTATGTACACTATAAATATATAAGTGAATTTTAAAAAGTGTCAGAAAATACTTTTGGTGGGAAGGAGGCCTCTGAATTCACATGGGAAAAGTGTAACTTTCTCTACAATGTTTACAAGAGCACCTGTTTGATAATTAGGGAATATGGAAAGTCACTAGCTGGACTTGAATAAAAATTGGTGTATAATTAGTGGAGAATTAAGAATTCAGTGCAGTCTCCAATTATATAAGCTCTGTGTGGTGATACACACCTGTAATTCCAGTACCCTGGGATGCTGAAGGAGGATCATGTTGGGACAGTTTAGGTCACATAGTAAGAGGCTGTCTTGGACAGCAATGAAACAACAGATTAGAGACCTAAAGGTCCATGTGATTAGTAGGAATAAAAGTACCAAATATTATTGAAGGTGCTCCTTAAAAGGACAAAAGGAAGTGAATGTCTTTGGTGAAAGAGCACTGTGAATGCCAAGAAGGAATGAGAACTAGAACTTGTCAGAAGAGCTGATTCTGAGGAGGAAGTTCAGCTCAACTCAGAAATATCAGAGAGGAGGACAGAGGCTACTCTGGACACCAGCTGGAATTTCTGGAGCACGCTGTCCTCTCCCTGCATATTACCGTCACCACCCTTTAGTAACAAAACAACCCAGTTTACTTCAGAGTAGCTTAACCCGAGATCAGAGCAGGGTGTCCTGTTCTTTGTTTTTTTTTAACCAATAATCAAAACTTCAATTTTCTAAGTTATATAACCAAAATAGCCATGAGGCTACTTAGAGATGGGTTTAAATTCGGCTGAAGATAATGCATGAGTCAAACAATGTCAAAATTCTAAATTCTGAAATGTCTGACTGAGGAATTTTAGATACGGAGTTATCTAAAATACCTTTTTACTGTTTTCCATTATATCCAAATGGAGAGTATCTGCTTTTAGCCTTCAGTGAAAATCATAATCTGAAGATATGAAAGTGGCCATATGTCACTAAAGAGACACTCCCCAATTTGACTCATTATGATGAAGCCCAGGCCCCAACCCCTTTCTCACATGGAGATAGAGAAGCTATGTAAAATCAGAACAGTGTTTACCTCTCTTCTCTTCTCCCTCCGCTCAACCTTCTTGCTCAAAGGAACAAGTTTCTTCCTAGCAGAAATCAAATACATTATATTAGAAAATTCAAGTTCATTTTAAAGATTAAAGAATTAGAATTGGTTTTCTGTTGACAGCACATCTGCCCAGCATACGCAAAGCTCTAGGTTTGATTGGTATGTGCATATGAGCATGAACACACACACCTACAGTTGAATGGTAGGAAAAGCCAGGAGCCCAAGTAGTGGCTCATTCACATCAGTAACTTAGCACTGACCTGAGGCAGAAGGATAACTGTGAGTTGGAAGCTACGTATTAAGTTCTAGGCCAGCGTGGACTACAGGGTCAGAAGATTTGAACGTGCTCTATAAACCAGGCTGGCCTTGAACTCACAGAGATCAACCTGCCTCTGCTTCCCACGTGATTAAAGGTGTGCACTGCCATGCCCAGCTATAGAAGTCAGATATTTTAACATGTGGGTTTTTTTTGTTTGTTTTTCGAGACAGGGTTTCTCTGTAGCTTTGGAACCTGCCCTGGAACTAGCTCTTGTAGCCCAGGCTGGCCTCAAATTCAGAGATCCGCCTGCCTCTGCCTCCTGAGTGCTGGGATAAAAGGGCATGCACCACCACTGTCTGGCTTTTAACATGTGTCTTAATGTGGTTATTTTTATTTTCTTTAGGTTCATTACACTAAGATTAATGCTTCAGTGAACCAAGAAACGGAAATTTTCTGAAAAAGGTTCATATGATTTTTAACATTCTCTGCTGATCTCAATGAAAAGGCCTCCATTTGGCACTCCTTCAGAACTATTAGTCCTGTGGATTCCATGTCATCTCTATCCGGAGTGTAATTCATACTTCTGATAATCACATTTTTACATCATTTTGAAACCTTTCATGTCAGCTTTTCTCAGGGACCTATACAGAAAAAATTTCAGGTAGGTAGGGTACATATTTTCTGCCTTAAAATTGTACAGAGCCACTGGGTAGATCCATATCCCAGTTTTATCTTGGCATAGCATAAAGGATTAGTCACAGGTGCGTTTAATAGGAAGCGCTGTTTGTGACACGGTCTATGGAAAGGCTGAACGTAAATAAAGGAATGAACTTGGCCCTTACCGCCGCTTCAGTGTAAGTTTTCTAATTCGAATCAGGTACTGGGTAATCTTGGTAAACCTCTGCTTACATTTGTGTCGAATGAAGCGAGGCCAGTAAATTAAATTTTCATCTATTTGTTCCAATGCTTTCTCATAGTTTTTACTAAGTCGGACCTGTGGAACAGAAAAGGGAAACAAGGGGAAGGTAAATCGTTAGGCCTTCATGTTAGTAATGACAGAGCACACAGAAGATGGCTTCAATGTCTAGAAATGGCCAAAGTGTCACTCTTGCTCTTGAGCAATGGTCCCTGCAGTTTTCTCAGTGAGCCTTACCCGTTCCCAGAGCCGCCGGGGAAAAGCTGCTCGTTCTATGACCTTCATATACAGGTAGCACTGTCCTGAGGATAAGTTAAACAGCCATGTTACTATTTACAGACAAACTAGAAAGAACCTTTTATAAACTTTTGTGTGGTTTTCATACCTTTCTCTTCTTTAATGGTCGCATACTGACTGTTTGCCAGAGGACAAGATGACCTATTGCACAGCCCAGTCAGACTATACTCATTTCTGCAGAAGCCCTGAGTCTTGGTTCTAGGATGCAAGGAAAGAAATGTTTCCAACCAAGGGGGCAACTAAATATGTTTTAGTCTAGACTGCAATATACTCACCTTATTTTGAAAGAACAAAATTGTTTGTTTCCTAGTGTATTCCAGATAACCTGCAAGACAAAGTGAAAACCCATTTACTCTGGCCCCAAAGGTGCTGTTTAATGTAAAAAGAGACATTGTTCTCCAGGCTGCAAATGATGCTCACTGGTACAATTCTTCCCAGCATGTGCAAAGCCCTCAGTTAAGTCCAGCACCATTACCACCAAAATACAAACAAAAAAGACAAGGATCTTGTCATAGCACAGTGCTGCAGCACCAAATAAAGGGAAAGAAAATAAGTATTCTTTTAATAGGCCTGATTTGTTTCCTTTACAAAGTAACATAGTCTTGTTTGTTTGCTTTTGTTTTTTTTTGTTTTTTAAAAGCCCTAAATACAGCTGGGCGGTGGTGGTACATCATTTTAAACCCAGCATTTGGGAAGCAGAAGTAGGTGGATCTCTGTAAATTAAAGGCCAGCCTGGTCTACAGAGCTTCTTATTTAGCAACAGAATTTAATTAATAGTTGGCAACTTTTTTCCCAGTACATACATACATTCTATCATCTGTGGTATGTACCTGTGCATAGTGTTAAAGAGTCATATCACATATACCCGGTGACTTTTCTTTTTCACATGTGTTCATTATCCACTGTAAAAGGCTGCACAGTACTAGATACTTAGATAATCCCACAACTTTATCCCCTTTCACAGTACTACATACTTAGACATGCATCTCACAACTTTATCCCCTTTCACTGTCTCTCTCTAGCTAACGTGTTCTTTATGCTAATGCAAAAGCACTGACATCTCCAGGTCCTGACATCATAAAACACTCTAATGTTTGTGGATGAAAAAAAGTACAGCCTTCAAGTGCAGTATTTAATTATGAGAAAGTATATGGATGACGCAGCAACAAGTTGCAGTCAATTTAAGAGCTTTATATGGGTGTATGAGAGCATAGAAGTCTTTGGATGGACCACCTAGAGGAACTGAGAAAGACTCTAAAGCAATTAAAGAAAAAACGAAGAAGGGTCAAAGGATGAAACATATGTTGAGTATTTAATAGGGGTGTCTGCTGGGGAGGTAGGAAACAAATTAATGAGATGGGAGAGTGTGGATACCACTCACACTGTGGCTTTTAAGCAGCATTGGATCAGACTTCTCCTAAGCACCACATTTGTCTGTGTATCTAGCTGCCCACTTAGCATCTCTGAAAGGATCCCAATGATAAGCATACCGAGATGCCACTTTTAATTCCACACTCCTCCAATGAATACAACATTCTCCCCCAGTTCCCACTAAAACGACCTAAAAACGTTTCCTTCAAGATTCCACCTGACCTCGCCCTGGCAAGGATATCAAATTCATCATCCCTCTCTCAACATCTTGATTCCTATAACAAGCCCCTCCGATGCCCTCTATATTCCGCCTGTCCCATCTCCGATCTTTGTACCTTTACCATTCCTACCCTCCTTCAGTGGCTGGCTCTTTCCCGATTTCTTTGCTTTTTATTGAAATGCCTTACTGGCCATTTCTGCAGTGGTCTCTCCTCCCCACTCTTCCTCATAACTCCTCTTTCGTGGTATCGTTTACCATGCAAACGTTTTATACGTTTATTCTCCATCCCCACAGTGCTTATGAAAACACAAGTGTTATCTGACTGATTAACAACCAAGTACTCAGTAATTACCACAGTGCCTACTGGAATCGATAAGTATTAACAACCCCTGCGAACCGACGAACGTAGGATACTGCCGAAATCACGACCCAGACAGCAGAGCAAGGTAGAGAAAAGCCTAACACAGGATCACAGGATACGTATACAGAAAAGGAACGCTCATGGACAAGCGGAACCCTTAAACATGAACTGTAAACTTGGCACCTCTCCCGCCTTCCAAGTCCCGGGACACTTGTCACTCAGATGGCAACGGCACAAGGGCCTTTACCGCTAGGCACCAGGGACTAAGTGAGTCGATCCGGAGGGAGGGTGGGGCTCGAGTGGGGACCCAGTTTTGAAAACCCGGTTCTGCAAGTCTCGCAATCCGAGAAAACAGGAGACGAACGGGCCACCTAAGTATGTGGGTTTGAGTCCTAAGAGAACGAAATGGCCCGCACAAACCCCGGGGCTCCAGAGCAACAGGAGGGAACTCACATCATCCGACTGCATGGTGTCGGCGGATCAGCACGCCGCGTTAGGCAGGACAAGGAAAGCAGACATGCTCCTTCCGGGGAGTCACTTCCGGAGAGCCCGGCGTAGCCTATCGCGAGAGTGTCTCAATCTCGTGGAAGGCAGTGACGTCTTCTAGTGGACTGTGCGTGCGCGCTTCCGCTGTCTCGCGCTCGATCAGTTAGGGCCATGCTCGCCGCCTGCATCCTTTACCCTAGCGGAGGCGCGCGTGTCTTGCTTGGTTTGTTTTAGGAGCGCTCTAGCGTCTTCCTCAGTGACAGGCAACGTTGTGCACTCGCCCAAAACCTCTAAAAAGTGGGACTCATTTGTCCTAATTGGAAGGCGCGCTCCCGAGCCTCCCATTGTGCACGCGCGGGGACTTGATGCTAACGCCGTCCTGCTTCCGGGCTGTGGCCGCGAGCCGGTAAAGACTAAAGGTGTCAGCTCTTTTACCAGCCTGCTGCGACTTTTTTGGTTTTTCGAGACAGGGTTTCTTTGTAGCTTTGGAGTCTGCCCTGGAAATTGCTCTTGTAGATCAGGCTGGCCTCGAACTCACAGAGAAACGCCTGCCTCTGCCTCCCGAGTGCTGGGATTAAAGGCGTGCGCCACCACCACCCGGCTCCCGCTGCGATTTCTAAAGGCCATCTCCCTCCTCACTTTGAAATACACACTGTAGAACTACTTTAAAGCAAAGCGAACAAAAAAACTGTGCAAGTGACCCCCAAAACTGATAAATTCTCCCCTCAGCCTTGCTTCTCCCATAGTTCTGGAAATCAAACTCAGGTTACTAGGCTCATACAAACCCCCCCCCCCCCCCAGCCATTATCTATTGAGAAAAATGCTTTTAAAAGGTCATCAGGGGTAATAACAAAATAGACGTTTGCTTCCCCATATCTCTCCCCCGAAAGCCATGAAATAATTCACCAAGTGATTCTGGAGCTACGGCTGTGTACCAGATACATTCACAGGGTCTAGGCAAACAACAGCAAAGAGGGAAATAGTTCTGTGCTCTCAGGGTACTTACTTAGTCATGGCGATTCCGAAAATAAGTAAATAAATGATACCATATACTGTATAATGTAATATTTAGGTACTAGCAAGTGTTGCAAAAGCAATGAAGCAGCTATGCACCATAGAAATCCCTTTTGGCTGTTTGGGAGGCAGAGACAGGAGGATTGCTTTTGTTCAGGAGCTTGAGTACTATAGGGAGACTGCATCTCCACGGTATTGGTGATAACTAGAATGATAAAGCAAAGGAAGAGTGGAGATAGAGAGGGTTTTCAGAAAGGTTTTATTGGGAGAGCTCCATAGAAGCGATAACTAACAGAAAGTGCCAATGAAGTGAAGCTACAATTGTCATGACAACATGACTACCAGTGAAGGAAGACAAAGAACAAACGCAGAGTCCCACAGATGAGGGGATGCTGGGCAGAAAGAGGAGCAAGGGGAAAGTGCAGCCTAGAGAATGGAGAGCAAGGGAAAACAACAGTAGGGGATGAGACCAGGAAGAAACCAGACCCAAAGCTCTTTGAAACTCTTGGGGTCTTTTAAAAGATCTTGGTGCCTAGATTGCGTCTCTGACCAAACAGTAATAACAGAATATGGCAACCTGATATTGCTTCTCTTACAGTTAACCATGAAAGAGAGGATACAAAAAAAAATATAAAGTGTAATTCTTAAAGTTCAAATAATCTACAAGATAGCAGGAAGAAGGAGGAATCGTCACAGGAATGTTCAGGTTAGCTTTCTCATTATAAAGATTATAAAATACAAAGTGATGGGGGTGGAGAGATGGCTCAAGGGTTAAGAGCACTGGCTGTTCTTCCAAAGGACCCTGGTTCGATTTCCAGCAACCACAAGACAGCTCACAACTGTCTATAACTCCAGCTCCAGAGGACCTGAGGACATCTTCACACAGACACACATGCAAGCAATAAATACACCAATGTATATAAAAATAAATAAATTAAAAAATGAAATACAAAATGAGTCCAGGTGTGGTGGCACATGCCATTAATCCCAGCATTCGAGAGGTAGGCGGATCTCTATCTCTGTGAGTTCAAGACCAGCCTGATCTAACAACCAAACAATCCCCCACAAAGTTATCAGCCCTTAATAGGTGAGCTTAAAGTAGAAAGCTTTGCAAAAAAAAATGTATAATGTCTTCATTATTTCAGATTAAGCAGATTTCTTAGCTAATTAAAAGCACAGAAACAATGCCAAGGGAGTAGGTAGCCATAGGCCTCTGTAGTGCTCTGTGGTTTATATGAGAACCCCTGCCCCTGCCCCGCCCCAGGCCCTGCCAGCTAATGTATTCACATGCTTAGGCCCCAACTGATAAACTGTCTGGGGAGGATTAGGAGTTATGACTTTACTGAAACAGGTATATTCTTGATGGAGCAGGCATGTTGCTAAGGGTGAGTTTTGAGATTTTTAAAAGCCCAAGCCAGGCTCAGTGTTGTAGAATATTTGTTTAACTATGTTTGTCTTGCCTGCCTAAGAAGGCACCTGACTGGTCTAATAAAGAGCTGAATGGTCAGTGGCCAAGGAGGAGGTATAGGTTGGTCTTCCAGACTTAACCCTGCTCCCAAGTATGCAGGAGGAGGAATTTAGGCTGGGGCGGTGGGGGGGGGGGGGATGAAAGAAAAAGAGACTCCATGGCCAGACAGACACAGAAGAATCAGGAAAGGCAGAAGTAGGAAAGCAGGACACACAGAAGGAAAGAAAGACCATTCTGACTGGTGCAAGATGAGACCTCAAAGTTTCTTTTTGTTTTTTTTTTTTTTTTTGCATTTGACTAAGGTTGTTGAACATTTAAGTGTTTCTCAGCCACTTGGGATTCCTTTATTGAGAACTCTCTATTTAGTTCTGTACTCCATTTTTTTATTTATGTTTATTATTTATTTATTTAATTAATATATTCTTATTATTTATTTATTTATTAAAGATTTCTATCTCTTCCCCACCGCCGCTTCCCCTTTCCCTCCCCCTCCCCCAATCAAGTCCCTCTCCCTCATTAGCCCAAAGAGCAATCAAGTTTCCCTGCCCTGTGGAAAGTCCAAGGACCACCCTCCTCCATCCAGGTCTAGTAAGGTGAGCATCCAAACTGCCTAGGCTCCCACAAAGCCAGTTCATGCAGTAGGATCAAAAACCCGTTGCCATTGTTCTTGAGTTCTCAGTAGTCCTCATTGTCCACTATGTTCAGCGAGACAGGTTTTATCCCAGGCTTTTTCAGAACAAGGCCAGCTGGCCTTGGTGAGTTCCCAATAGAACATCCCCATTGTCTCAGTGTGTGGGTGCACCCCTCGCGGTCCTGAGTTCCTTGCTCGTGCTCTCTCTCCTGCTCCTGATTTGGACCTGAGATTTCTGTAGGTGCTCCAATGTGGGTTTCTGTTTCTGTCTCCTTTCATCCCCTGATGAAGGTTAATATTCAGGAGGATGCCTATATGTTTTTCTTTGGTTTAGCTTCTCTATATATTTTGGTTTTTTGAGACAGGGTTTCTTGGTGTCTTTGGAGCCTGTCCTGGAACTAGCTTGTAGACCAGGCTGGCCTCGAACTCACAGAGATCCTCCTGCCTCTGCCTCCTGAGTGCTGGGATTAAAAGCATGCACCACCTTCACCTGACCTGTACTCCATTTGGAAGACCCTACAAACCACCCCCCCTCAAAACCCGCAGCTAGCCAGCTCTCATGAGAACATCCTGTTTGCTTGAGACCCTCAGGACCCTCTCAGGACCTGCAGCTAGCCACTCTCATGAGAACATCCCGGTCGCGTAGGAAAACAGGATGCCTATAGTCAGCACATGTGCCAAACTTAAAATATCAGCAGTTTACAAAAGAAACAATTCCTCCTACGAAGGACCCCAGCTTAACTGCTGTAACATCATTTTACAAGGCTCTTGACAAACAATTGTAAGTACACAGTGAGGTCAGGGCCTCTGGCTGCAAAGCAGGATATTTATGAGGTCAGGGTCTCTGGCTGCAAAGCAGGATACATCTGTGCTGGAAAAGGAAAAACCACTTATGCCCCCTGCCCCATTCTAATCAGACCAATAACCATGCATCTGCTTCTGTAATTTGCTTTTTGGCCGCCCTCTTTCCTATAAAAAGACCTTCCCCCAGTCTGCAGGTGCGCAAGTCCTCCAAAAGACTTTGCCGCCCGCAGGTACCTGTGTTCACCTAATAAACCTCTTGCTATTTGCATCCGTGTGGTCTCTGCCTGTTCCTTGGCTTGCAGGAGGGGGGGGGGTGGAGTCTCCTCTCGAGGGAAGTCCTCTTCGGGGGTTTTTCACATTTAAAACTGGGTTATATGTTTCCTTGATATCCAGGTTTTTAATTATATTGACTATCAGATGTGTAACTGGTAAATTTCCCCCCCTGTTCTATAGCCTGCCACTTTTTCCAAATGATTGGGCCCTTTGCCATACAGACGTTTTCAGTTTCATGAGGTTCCATTTATTAATCATTTTTCTAAGTGCCTGTGCTGAACCCAAATTTTTGTGATCCACAGCCATGGTCTGTCCTCAGGCCTAAGAATCAGACTGCAGCTCCCTGCCGCATGGGATGATGATGATGATGGTGATTTTGGTTTTTGAAGACATGGTTTCTTTTTGTAGCCCTGGCTTTCCTGGAACTTGCTCGTAGACCAGGCTGACCTTGAACTCACAGAGCTTCAGTGCCTCTGCCTCCCAAGTGCTGGGATTGAAGGTGTGCACCACCACTGCCCTGTGACATGAAATTTCTTAACACGGCTGCTTACTTAAACCAGTTAATGATGAGACTCTCATTCCTGAGCTCGGCACAACTGGACTCACTGCGGCTTCAATCTTGTCCTGTATTTTGCGAGCCTGTATTTCCCTTTTGAATCACCACCTCCTCTGAGCTGCAGAAACCACATCTGTCAGTCAGTCAGAAACAGTATGCGCATCCTTTCCAAGGAGAAATAGCAAATGTTCTAGCATGAGAGGCCTCGCATATATATCTTGTTTGTATTTTTGACTTTTGTATTAGTGACTCTGACTACTGGGCTTCTATTTAGTGAGACTTGTTAGGACATTATTATTGGGAATGAAATGTTTACATTTTTTTCCCTCACCTTTAAGAAGTACCTTAGCCTGTCCTTCTGGATTGGTGAAGTGGAAGGATTCCGGTGACAGAACTGGAGGGACATTGCTTTGAAACTCAGGTATACCGCTTGAAGCCAAGTGGGAAAATGCAGGAGGTGGAACAAAGATGTTATCAAGAGCTTCATCTTTAAGTCAAGTGACTTAAAGAATCTCTCTAGAGTTAGCACAGAGAAATCTTCGATGAGGAGCCTGGATTCACTTAAAGGACTGTGGAAGCCTGGCTGGCAGCCTTCACCCAGCCGTGGAGTGGTTTTTGAAATAGCAGGGCTAAGAGTCCTCTTCAATTGACAGTTTGCTCTTCTGTCCTTGATCTCTCGCTTTGAAAGCACCCTCCAGCAGAGTCTTTTTGAGGCATTCTTCAGGAGCTTATGAGCTGAAAGATAAAGGAGGAAAAGCATGTTTTTGTAACCCCAGTCCAAAAGGATAGAGATTCTAAAATTCCAAGGAAAAGCTCCTTTTGTTTCATAATACATGAATTTCTATCTTAGCATAAGCATTATATTATATATGTATATTATCAATTAAACATTATACATTCTGCAATGTTCGACTCAGTGAAAATAGGCTGCAAGTCTTAAATGTGTCTGAACTTCGAGAGTATAACCTCTTTCCATCTTGTCTTCAGAAAACTTAAGATTCTGATGGAGCAAACAGAATGAGCAAACGACACTGGCATGCTGGATGAGAAAAAGAACGGGACATGGACTAAGGAGTGGTGGGAAGGCTGTTCTGAACAGGGCGTCAAATAAAGCCTCTCTTAGGAGTCAAATACAATATTGAAGTGGAGAGTGACCCCTGAAAATCTGGGGGAAGACCTTCTCTAGATTTCAGCGGTGAAGATCCTACATAGGTGTGGGTGGTGACAGCGTGAATGGAGAGCTATG